TCCCTCGATCGCCGTGCGAGCGATTCTCCCTCCCTCTAGTGCAGGAAATGCGCAAAAGACGTCAGTGTGTGTGTGTGTGCGTGTGTGTGTGTGTGTGTGTGTGTGTGTGTGTGTGTGTGTGCACGCGCGCGCGCGCGCGCCACTGTTTAGGGAAATAGAAAGTTTTGCCGGTTGGGGGAGCAATACGGGAAAAGTGAGCCGAGCAGAAAACAGCAGCGAGCGGGCCGGCCCGGTCGGTTGGCGGCGGCGCCCGGGGGAGCTGAGGGAGGACTCCGCGCCGGACTCAGGAGTGTGGCAGCGCGGGGGTGCGGGGACGACTGTCGCAGGCCGAGTCTGTGCTCCTCGGATCTGCACTGGGAGAGCTGGGTCTGAACCAGGAGAGCGGCGGGCCGCGCTTCTCTCTCCCACCCTTCGGTCCACACTATCATTTAGAGCTGGGGCTGGAGGAATAGAGGGGGTCGCTATGTCCAAGAAGACTAAGCACCTTCCCCCACTCAGCCTGGACTGCGACGGTCACCAGCCGCTCGCGGAGATCTGGCCTGTTTGTCTCTCTGCCCTGGGATTCTCTACTGTGCGGCGATGGGGGAGGGGACACCCGGACTGCTGCGCCCTTCTGCTGGGTGTGAGTTTTGAAACCTAATTTTCCTCCTTTTTTTCCCGCTTGGGGAGGTTCTCCCCTCTAGGGATTTGTTCCGGACCTGCTCCGGTTGCGAGAACTTGTTGACAAATGGAAGACTTGTAGAACCCCGGCCCGGCCTGGTTCGAATGTCTGTTTATTTCTCAAAGTGACTCCTCCTACTTATGCGGGACCTCGTGTGTGCCCCTTAAGGGAACGAGGCTCGATCTGCGCGCTGACAACGGGCGTTCGGGCTGCGGGAAAGCCGGGTGCGCCCTCCTGGGGGCCAGAGGCTGTATCCATGCTAATTTCCTCCGTAACCTTTAAACTCTCTGGAAGCAGCCGCGACAGCGGGTAGTCACGTGAGGCAAGCCCTGGGCTGCTGGGGAAGAATTTCCCCGGCTGGAGACCGGGACAGGGAAGGCGGGCGGCAGACGATGGCTCTGCGCCGAGAGGACTGGGAGTCTGGGAGGGCCGGGCGGAGCGCGCCAGGCCCTGGGCGCCGCGCAGCGGGAACTTCCAGCCTGCGCCCGGGAAGGGGCTGGTCCCGCAGCCCCCGGCTGTGTGAGTGGAAAAAGAAAACCTCCGCCCTCACCCGAATGCCAAGACAAGTCTGGCTGTTCGTAGGGACGGTGAAAAGCTGTGTGTTTATCTGGCGACTCTGATAAATGTAGACCAAAATGTACAAACCGCATCCCGTTCACTTTTTCCTCTGTGGAAAAGGATTATCATTTCTTGTAGTTTAAAAATGAGGAGGCAAGTCTCCAGGAACGACACATCAAGTGCAGTACACCGCCTGCCCCCAAAGTTTGAGCGCGCAGTCACGCTCCCTCCCCGTAGCACAATAATATTCCTCGGAGCCAGTCCTGTTGCATGGGACAACTTGGGATACAGATGCTGATAAAAAAAAAATGCACCTTTGGGAACGATTATGGTCTTAAGATCATTGGCGCCTTAAAAAATAATTGAAAAACTTCCTTTAAGGTCATGCAATAAAAAATTAATGACAAATGAGACTTTCTCTCCAAACTATGAGTTTAGGAAGCAGGCCCAGTGCTAAAAGACGGTAGGGATACACTCTAAGTTAAAAAAAAAATGCCAAAAAGTTCATTCAACAACATGATATTTAAGTCATATTTTTAAAACTAAAAGGTAATATGAATTTCCAGGATGAACAGACCTTGCCAACTTTAGATCATTTTAAATAGTTCACAAAGTACAACTTTCTTTACTGGGTTTACTGGTGCCCGTTAAGCTTTCCACATAAATGGAACGCCTCATTTGTCCTGCCCTGGCCTGGCCCTGCTGGGCAGTCCAGCAGCTCAGGGACTTCTTAAAGTTAGAGATCCTAACTTAACTAGTTGGTGTTTCCCAATGTCTCTCTAATTGTGTCTGACGGGCCCTGTCTGACGTGCAAATACAGTTGGAATCAAAAGTCATAGACATGGATCCCTTCTTCTCAGCATACTAAACAAGGAATAAATTTAGAATTAAACGTTGACTTTGAACTTTTGAGTTAACTTACTCCCCTGTCCTTCTCCTCCCACACCCTGCTTCCACCAGACAAACACATAAAGACTGAAAATATAAGAGTCTCTGGCCATCTCTGTAGCTGCCTTAAAACGAGAAGCCACGAGCTTCGGTGAAAGAAGAAAAAAAAAGGAGAGAGGTGGGGGAGGGAGGGAGGGAGGGAGGGAGGGAGGGAGAGAGAGAGAGAGAGAGAGAGAGAGAGAGAGAGAGAGAGAGAGAGAACCTGCCTCTCTTAAGAGACTCTTCAGGAACACAATCACACTGGTGCTCTCCAGGGTGAGCAATATTAGTCTACTTTCCATTACAGGTCTTTTGCATTGGGAATACAGAACACTTGACCAAACCAAATGCCAATATTGTGTTGGATGAAGGTTTATATTAAGAGGGTGAAGTTGGGTGTTCTCCATGCACACGCTGCACTCATTACATCCTTGTCCCTAAATAAATCTCTCACCTTCCCACTCTCTAACTTAGCCATATGAAAACTCCCCAAAGACACTATGAATATGTGAGACACCAGCTTGTCAAAATCCCCGCCTCTCTCTCTCTCTCTCTCTCTCTCTCTCTCTCTCTCTCTCTCTCTCTCTCTTACACACACACACACACACACACACACACACGCCCTGATTTCAAGACAGGGTTTCACTATGTAGTTCTGGCTGTCCTGGAGCTCACTATGTATACCCCTGGCCTTGAACTCACAGAGTTCTTCTTGCCTCTACCTCCCAAGTTCTGAGATTCAAAGGCATGAGTGTCTATGCTTCGTATAAGGGAGCACTCTTAAATTTACCTGGAGGAGAGGTGGGTCTAAAATAACCTGCTTGACTCCAGGTAAAAAAGAAAACAGGCCCTTGCCAGCTAAGGCTTAAAATATAAACTTCTGATCATAAGTACGGCCTGGTTGGTTCTCCTCTTGACCCTTGTATACAATGCAAAGGACAGGAAGGCAACTGTGTATACATTGAGTTAAATGCCCTTTGGATTCTAACAATAGTCTAGTTATTTCATAATCTTTGAGAAAGGGCAGAGGAGAGGAAGAAAAAATGACGTAAGAATGTAACAAAGATGATCAAGCTGGGGCACATGCAGAAAGGGCTAATGGTCCAGGGCAGCTAGGCTGCCCAGGGCGGGACAGCCCGTGTTGCAACAGTTCCCGGAATAGGAGCAGTGTCCCTTGCCTGGAGGAGCTTAGGGAAGCATCACTACAAGGCCTTTTGAGTCAGAACCTTCAGCAACAGAAAGGGAAAAACGTAGGAGGCAAAAAGAACGGACCATGAAGTATATGGGAAGAGCTATTCAGCCTGGCTTATGCAGGGAGGAACAGGAGAGGAGGTGGGCAGGAGTCTAACAGTTAAAGACCCCTTGGCCTTGCAGATGGATTTGAACTGCTTTCTAGAGAGACACTGAACATTCAGTGGTTGAGAAGTAGTTTCTAGAATTAATTATTTTCAAAGCAGCTTGCTCTCAGGGGTAGAACTCAGTATAACCTAGTGTTTCAGGGCGCCCTGGGTTAAATCCCCAACTGCAGCAGGAGAACTGGGGAGGATTGGAGAAAGTAGCAAACGGATGTTTTTCTCTTCTGTAACTTCTCCTCAGCAGACTCACCTCTTCTCCTCAGCAGACTCACCTCCAGACAGGGTGCCAGGAGGATGCACTGCTGAAGATGATTTGCCCTCTATCCAAGAATGAAACCTTTTGTGGATGTTGTTTAGGTCTGCTAACAGCAGTGATGAAGGAGGGGCCAGAACCTTAGAGGGGTATGTTAATGCCTGTCCCCACCTACTGCTGTGCCAGTTGTTGCCATTTATAGACACTTAATGGGCCTCAAAAATGTCACTCTGGTCAGGGTCTATAATCTTTCCCTCACAGGTTCTGCTGAAAAGAATCCAGCTACCTGGGTCCGGGAACAAATATCCAGCAGCTCAATAACAGAAGTTATCCCCAGCCTTGCTGCCCTGCT